AAATAAATAAATAAATAAAGAGCTGCACAGAAAAGTCCCAAGGGCAGTTTGAGAAGATAAAGTCAAATATTATAATAAAATGTTTAAAGACCTGGAGTTAGAAAACCAAAAGGGAAAAGCACACTCAGCATTTTTCAAGGTGAGGAATTGCAATATTAAAGGATTCTATGGGCAAAATATTGAATGATGCAGAAGGTCCTATGGAACAATTCTCTTCTGTCACATGGGGTTGCCATAAGTCAGAAATCTATTCAAGAACATCCAACAACAAATAAATATTTTTAATATAGAAAATTATATTATCCATTTTATTGAATGGCATAGAATTTCCAGTACTTTGTTGAATGGAAGAAGTCATAGTTGAATTCTCTATGCTGATGATTTTAAAAGGAATGCTTTTAATACTTCACTATTTAAATGGATAGCTTATGTATTTTTGTAAATACCATTTATCAGGTTAATAGAATTCCTGCAGTTTCTTATCTTGCAAGAGGTTTATTTTAATGAGTTTGAGGTTTTTATAAAATGCATTTTCTTCATCTACTGAGATGATCATATGGCTTATTTGTATAATTGAATTACATAGTTACATTTAAAGATTTTCTATGTTAAAATATCCTTGCATTTCTGGAACATCTGGAATAAAGTAGCTCTAAGTGGTTATTTGGAGTCCTGGTGTGGCACTGTGGGTTAATGTGCCAGACTGCAAAGCCATTTGAACTTCAAGGTCGGTGGTTCAAGCTCACCAGCTGCTCTTCGGAAACTCTGTACAGGGTCGCTATGAATCGGAATCAACTTGACAGCACTTAACAGCAACAAGTGGTTATTCAAAAAAATAATCAATTCATAATATAAGGTTTCAAACACACACATTGTGGGATAATGCCCAAAAATATGTGCTTCGGAGTACTGGTATGGCACTGTAAGATAAGCAAGGTTAGTGGTTTAAACCACCAACTACTCTTCAGAAACCCTACATAGGGTCACTATTTGGCACATAACAACTGCAATAACACTTAGTTTAGAATTCTTTAGTTTTTTTCTTGAGTGACAGGGCTTATTATTACGCTTTCTTTTTTAGGATTTAGTAATCCATTTAAAACAAGGAGCTCTGGAAGCGTAGTGGTTACGTATCGGGCTGCTAACCTCAAGGTCAGCAGTTCGAAACTACCAGCCGTTCCGAGGGAGAAAGATGAGATTTTCTGCTCCCGTAAAGATTTACAGCCTCGGAAACCCTGTACAGGGTCACTATGAGTCGGAACTGACTCCATGGCACTTAACAACAACAACAACAATACATGCATATGGTGTAAATTCCCCTTTTTTCTATTCTCTGGAATTGTTTACTTAATATTGGAATAATTTGTTTTTGGAATTTTAGTAGAAAGCATCTATAGAGTCGTGAGGTCAGATATTTTCTTGGGGAAGATTTTAAGCCTTGATTCAATTTCATAAATTGTTAAAGGCTATGCAAAATAGTGTTTGGTCTAATCTTTTAGCTAGAAGTAGTCAAAACTATAACTAATTATTTCAACATACTTATTTGGTACAAATGTCTTATGTCTTAACAATACCCCTGTTGTTACTTGTTCTCTCTCTCTCTCTTTCTCTCTCTCTCTCTCTCTCTCTATTTATACATATGCTAATGAATAAATGATGAACACATTCACATTTCTGAGCTGATATTTGTGCAGCCATGTAGAATTGAATTATTAATTACATATAAGATGTAAAGGCAAGCATAAACGATAATTAATTCAAAGTTTTTTGGCCCACATGTAAATAACATAAATCAGAGAAGTAATGTCTTGTTAAGTGCCGTCAAGTCAGTTCTGATCCATAGCGACCCTGTATAGGATTTCTGAGGAGCGGCTAGTGAGCTTAAATCACCAACCTTGCAGTTCAAACCGCTTTGCAGTATGGTGCATTAACCCACAGCGCCACACCAGGACTCCAAGAGAAGTAATAAGTTCGAGGAAACAAGACATATTCCTATATAGACATAAGTAGTTTGAGGCGTTTGATGGACTGCCAAGTAAATTTTTGGATGTGTCTTGGAAATGACATTTGAACCTGTGGTTCTAGATTACATTTTTCAGCATATAGAAAAGACATAAATATAGAATTCTAAGGAACATAAATACATGCCTTGGCAGAAAAAAGGGCATCAACAATGAGCAATAAGCAAAATAAATAAATTAATAAATAACAATTCAGGAAACTAGTGAAAAGGCTAATGGTGTCATGGGGTGGGGGTTGTTCAAATCATCAAATTTCTTAGTCAATAACAATTTCCTTTCTGTTTCTGTTAATATTGCTCTTGTATCTTCTCCAGATAATAAGAGTCTACACAACTATCTTTTACTCAAATGCTGCACAACCTATTTCATCTCAAGGACACCTTATATGTGCCAAAGTAGACCTGTTTTAAATTCTCCACAAGTCTTCAGCAAACGATTTTTAAAAAGAAGATCACCAAGCCTTAGACAAATGTTTAACCATATAGATGAAATATCCTTTTCCAAAAATAGCCTATTAAAATCAGCACTCTCAAATAATATCCTATATTCAAAAATGTGATGCATTCAGATTTAACATAACTCCCCCAAACTGATGATTTTTACATATACTTACCAACAGTATCACATGGCTCATCTTTGTGTACACAGAAATCTTTCCTGTAAGAAAAAATAGAACAAAGTAAAGTCACTTTTCAAATCAATCAAACTAAGTAAAGATAAGTCCCTTTTTAAAGCAATCAATTTTGACTCATTTGATTCTTGCATACATAATTATGGGAGTCCTGGTGTGGTGCTGTAGGATAATCACTTGACTACTAACCATAGATCAGATGTTCAAATCCACCAGTTGCTCCTTAGAAACACTATAAAGTGTCTCTATGAGTCACAATTGATTCGTTGGTATTTAAGAAGAGCAACATGAACAATTGTATCATATCCTTTATATCTAAGAATTTAATAAAACTGAGAGTAAGAAAACTCATTTTAAAATCTAAAAAATGTGAACTGATTATTTAAACTTTTATCATATATTTATACCTAAGATAATCCAGGGTTATGGTTGTACCATTTTATAGGTAATATTTCAAAAACAGAATCCCATTTTGTTTTGAATTTTACAGGATTCATTTTTATTGAATGATGCATCAAAAGAAGATTGAAGAAATACACAGAGTTGCTGTATCAAAAACAAGTGGTCAATATTCAACAATTCCAAGAGGTAACATATGATCAATAGTCAATGATCATGAAGGAAGAAGAGTCAATAATCACTGAAGGCATTGTCAAAGAGCAAGACTCTGGAAATTGATGGGATACAAATTTTAATATTTCAAGAAACTGAGACAGCATTGGAGGCACTTATTCACCTATGCCAAGAAGTCAGGAAGATTAGCGGACTGATTAGGAGAGATTCATATTTGTGTCCATTCAAAAGAGAGGTGACAAAATGAAATGTGGAAATTATCAGATAATATCATTAATATCACATACAAGTAAATTTTGCTGAAGATAATTAAAAATGACTGCAACAGTACATTGACATAGAATTGCCAGATCCAGATGAAGACATGGAATGAGGAATATCATCACTGATGTGAAATGAATCTTGGCTGATAACAGAGAATACCAGAAAGATGTTTACCTCTGCTTTATTGACTATGCAAAGGCTTTCGATTGTGTGGAGCATGACAAGCTATGGACAACATTACGAAGTATGAGTATTCCGGAACATTTAATTGTGCTCATGAGAATCTGTACATAGATCTCTTGACAGTGGCAGTTGTTTAACAGAACAAGGGGATACTGAATGGTTTAAAATTAGGAAAGGTATGCATTGGGGTTGTACTATTTCACCATATTTATTCAATGTATATGCTGAGCAAACAAATATGAAAGCTGGATTATATGAAGAAGAACATGACATCAGGATTGGAGGACGACTCATTAACAATCTTCAATAAGCAAATGATACAATTTTGCTTACTGAATGAGAAGAAGATTTCAAATATTTACTGATGAAACTCAAAGATCACAGCTTTCAGTATGGGTTGTACCTCAATGTAAAGAAAACAGAAATTCTCACCACTGGCTCAACCAACAACACCATGAAAAGAAAAGATTGAAGTTGTTAAAGACTTCATATTTTGTGTCGAGGTCCTATGTCAGGTTCCAGCCTCGACAAGGAAGTGTGGGTGTCACAAAGAAGGGAGATCTGGCAGCAAAAGGGATAGAGAAAGAGAGAGATGAAATATATACAAAAAAGACAGACACATAGATATGATGCAAGCTGGCAGGTAGACAGATCTGCAAACATATTGCCTAGCATTGCACAGCATTGCACACAGCTCTAACTCTACCTCAGTCTTTTATTCTCTTTTTTAGGGAGGGATTTGTTACAAAGGAAGGATGTAATTCACAAAGGGAGAATGTAATTTCACAAAGGGAGGATGTGATTAAGACAGGATGGAACTGAAATGTGATTAATCATTCAAAACAGGGCATAATGATTCACAGGAACAACTTTTAAGATACTTTCATAGTTTTTCTTAGCAATCTAACGTTTTTATTTTTACAGAAAAAGGTTCAATCAAGCTGTTATATATTAATTTTTAGGCTTAAATGATCTAGAGCAGTGGCTTGCGGTTTCTTAAGGATACTTAACATAAAGCAAGGTTCCTGAAAGGAGCCAAGCTGTCTCTGTACACTTTGCAAACTTTTGTTTGTGAGCAAGATCTCAGGCAACGGGCTTCATTTATCTATATCTAAAATGCTACATTGTTCTTAATTACCACATTTCTATATACTTTCAGAAGGAAGGAGAGCATCTGGGTTAAACTGATTATATTCAGAGGTGGTTTAACTGGACTGCCACTGATCAACCCAGGGTCTGCGTATGCTGTCCCCAGCAATTTTGCTTTGATCCACTATCAACACTCACAGAAGCAGCAATTGAGAAATAAGATGTTTCATATTAGGCAAATCTGCTGCACAAGTCCTCTTTAAAGTGTTCAAGAGCAGAGATATCAGTTCGAGGACTAAAGTGTGCCTGGCCCAAACCTTGGTATTTTTAATAGCCTCATATGCATGTAAAAGTTGGACAATGAATAAAGAAGACCTTAGAATAATTGATTCATTTGAGTTATGGAGTTGGATAGGAATATCAAAAGAATACAGACTGCAAAAGAACAAACAAATCTGTGTTGGAAGAAGTACAATCAGAATGTTGCTTAGAAGCCTGGATGGCAAGACTTCATCTTTCATACATTGGATATAATATCAGGAGGAACCAGTAATCTCAGAAGACATCATGCTTGGTAAAATGGAGGGTGAGAGAAAAAGAAAAAGGCCCCCAATGAGATGGATTGGCACAGTGAGAACAACAATGAGTTCAATTATAGTTTGTGTTTCCTAACTTTCTTAAGAGGTTATTCTTTTTCAAGTACATCTTCACTATTTCATTTAGTCATGCTAAGTGAATGAAAATCTGTCTCAACCTTTATTTCCTTAACTCTCTTGATATTGCATTTATTCATGAAAGAACATTAGCTGCTTTTATTGACCACCAACATGTTGAAAATGCTTCCATTTTATTCTAGTATTCATAATTATTGCTTCTTTTTGTTGTTAAGTGCTATGGAGTCAGTCGCCACTCATAGTGACTCTGTATAGAGTTTCTGAGGTGTGACCTAAGGGTTTGAACCATGACCTTGTGGTTAGCAGTCCATTGTTTATCCTACAGCAACACATGAGGACTTTTTTGTTCTTCTGTCATGCATTTTGATTTTTTTTTTAAAGCTTTTATTTAGATTGGTTTCCATTCAATAACTGATACACATTTTGCTTTGTGACATGGACTGTAATCCTCACAAATGTAATAGCACTCTTCCTACTTCATCCCCGTTTTTGTTATTCCCATCCATCTCTTTTTTTCTATTCTTTCTTGTCTTCTGAGATTTGTCTTTGAGCAAATGCTGCCTTCCTGATCTCATATGGTTAATTGTTCTCTGGTATTATTGTGAAACCTATACAGTGTCATCTGGCTGAAATTTAAGTCACAGTGGTGAGTGCATTTCCAAGCTTGAATGGTGTCTAAGGTCCACTATCTCTGGGATTCTACCAGTCACTATCTACTAGTAAGACGGGCATGATTTTTTTTCCTCAGTTCCCTGAGCTAGAGAAATGCTAAGTATGTTCTTCCCTTTTGGTTTTCTAACTCCATATCTTTGCACATTTTGTTGTAATATTTGATTTTCTCTTCTCGAGCTGACATTTGAAATTTTCTACTCTTGAACCTTCTCACTTTTTCCATTTGCCTTAGCATCTCTAAGCTGGAGGACAACTTTCAGAGTCCCTTAGGACATCCATTTTGATCTTTTCTTTTTTCTTGTCTTCTTAATGACCTTTTGCTTTCTTCCTGTACGATAGTATTGATGTCATCCCACAAGCTTTCTGGTCTATAGTCTTTAGTGTCTAATGCATTACACAGAGGCTGCAACAATGAACTCAAACATTACAACTGTGAGGGTGCTGCTGAACGGGGCTTGGTTTTGTTCTGTTGTGTACGGGCCCTCATGATTCATAGCTGAATTGGACAGCATCTAACAACAACAAAATTATCATCTTTTACTATAGAAGATTTTATCATTGTGTATTTAGGAATTTTATTGTGATGTTGTGTGCAGTGGAACTTGATTTGTGGCTGTTTGTAGGGTGTACATTGTGGTATAGCTCCTATTGAGCAACTTTGTATCTGCTTTCAGTAAGTACTTCATTGCTGGAATCAGATTCATAATAATGAGTACCCAGAGGAGCTATTTTCTTTAACCTGAGGTCATTTCTAAGGCAGAATGCTTCCTTGTTGGTAATCTGTGCTTACTGCCAGAGCTTTACCCAGATCACATTTTTATTATGGGTGTGGCTATTCAAGGGTTCTGAATTTATGCACTGTTTCAGTTCAACTTTCCCATTTTACGTAGCTTCAATTCTGTCTTTCTTCCTTGTAGGAGTAAAAATCCAATAATTCAGTCTTTGTAGTCTAGCAAATTCCACCAGAGAAGTAACCATATTTCTTCTTTCTGGTATTCCCTGCTTTCTGCCAAGATTCATCTGATGTCAGCAATGACATACCTTGTTCCATGTCCTCGTCTGAATTTGGCTTGAACCTCTGGCAGTTCTATGTTCAATGTACTGTTGCAGTTGTTTATGAATTAAGCTGAGAACCTATCTGTGGTAAAATGAGTTCCTTTTTGTAACCTTTTGATGTGGTTCTCTAGAAAAACAGGTTGAGAGATTTTCCTCCTAAACTCCAGAATTTTATTTTGCCCTTGTTTTTTATCTCAGCAGGTTTGTTACTTTTGCACAGGTTAGTTTGATACTTTTTATCTGACTCTGATTTAAAATTGGCCCTGTGATTTATATGCACCTTGCAGAGACTGCTCTATATATCATGCAATTGAAGTTAGTTCTGGTGTGGTGCTGTGGAATAATGTACTGGACTGCAAGGTCAGTTTGAAGTGCAAGGTTGGTGGTCCAAATTCACCAGTTATTCCTTGGAAACCCTAGGCAGGGTCACTATATGTCAGAACTGACTCCACGACACTTTTAACAACAACATCTACAGTACAAATGAAGCTATCGTAGCTTATTATGCAAATGAA